AATGGAGACTGTAAGGCGGTGGTGGTGGGATTCGAAAACACATCTCCGGGGTGATAATCTGGTGACATTACCACCGGGCCACCGCCGCCCGTCTGGTAGACGTAGTGATCTGGTTTTGTACTCGAAACCAAGATCGTTCCAAGGTATCTGGGAGTATTGATTAAGCAATTAAATCCACTACTCGAACAGAAATGAATATATCTATTACAGGAAAACAATANTATCATGACCTTTGTAAGAAAGTCTGATGACAAAGTATTGAAAATCGGTTCTCGTAGCTCGGGTGAACTGAATTCTATTTCGCCTGTTCGCCGAGCAGTGGGCAATTTGTTTGCAAACGTTTCATCGTCACCAGCCGAGGTGACATCATCAGTGCTTGTGAAGTGGTCGATTGATCTGTTGATCTCCGGTACATGTCACAACCTGAATCGTGCCAATTTTGTTGCACTGATCATGCAGGTTTTCGCAACGCATTTGTAAAAGTCATCCTGTTCCCAGATAATGCTCCCTGTCATGTCTAACACAAGGTATGCCGTAGAAATAGTTTACTCATTATTATATTTTTTTCAAACACTTGCGAAATCGAACTCGGTTACCATCCTGCAGGCAGATAAATCAGTCATGAAGGAAAGTGAAAAATACGATTTGTTAGACAACTCTGTGACCCCAATGCCAAAACGACTGACCCAAGTAATCCTGAATAAAGAGGACCTCCCCTCCGGAATTATTGAAAAACTGAAAGTGCAATACGTGCCTCAGACCACCTGTTCGACGTTTTTGCAAATAATTTATTGTTTTGGTTCCCTTACAACTGATGTACCACGGACTGTTGTCCAAATCCAGAAGTCATACGTTTGTGTACACGGTATCAACATTTAAATCAGCGCTGTTACATATGTGTTGTGTGTCTGTTGCTGTTGATGTCCTCATTCCCGCTGAACGCTAAGACGAACAGATCGGTGTAAAGTTCCCCCACCGAGTTCGACCAATATTCCTATGCTTTCCCCGTTCTCTCGCACTCCGGGCTCTAAATGCGTTCAGAATCACAGGAAAGGATGCAGTTCGTGACAATCCGTTTCACCGATGCTACACAGTGCAGCTGCCACGAAACGGTTCCAGTCTTTCGTTCGGTTGTCCATCAATAATCATTGCATTATCCTTTCTGACACTAAAGTAGTTCGGACTGGTATCATTCGCATCTTGAGTTTCACAAATTCATCGCGGAAAAACAAAAACCACATCGTTCTTTGTTCCAGATAGATAGGAATGTGTTCATTTTTCTGACAACAATGCACTTTTTAGTGTATTGTACTATATGGTACTATATTGTAATAACTTCTGCAAGCATGAAGCCCCCACATTTCAGTTAAAAATGTACAGTTTGGAGCAAGGGAGAAAATGCAAACCACCATGAAAAAAGAGATTTAAATCCCAAAACTGTTACCAAAGTCTGTGAAAACCTGTTCTTTGTTAACAACAATACGTGCTAATGAGAGTACTGTAGAGTTACGATAAATGTTTATTCTAGAGGGAACACAACGATATTGTGATCTAGTTGAGGGATGGGAACAACAGGAAGTGAGGTCAGCGTGTAGCGGATGTGTGGAGTCGATGAGAATCTTAGGCGCAAACTTTTCACATGCATTCAAATGACGTTCGCATAGGTTAGTTATCAACTCCTTTAGTGGGATTGAAGAGACACGGCTAATGATGATCCATCCACGTCGAAGCAAATTAAAATCTTTCTTGAGGAGAATGGGAAAAATAACAGGTGAACAATAAAGTAAAACAGGGAAAACACACTGATACACAAAGTTGGAAATAACTGATTATGGAATACGAAACTGACGGAGTTTACGGATATGAAAAAAAAGTCGTCGAAGCTTACTGACGATGTGTTGAATGTGAGGGGTCCAGTGAAGATAAGTATCAATAGTTTACCCGGGATACTGGCCACTTCACAAGCACTGATGATGTCACCTCGGCTGGTGATGAAACGTTTGCAAACAAATTGCCAAGCTCGGCGAACAGGCAAAATGGAATACTGGTCACATTCCAACAGTTTATGAACTGATTTACGTTTAATTTGCACCACCACGGTTAGTCAGCCCAAGTTCCACTCGTACATAACGCATGCTCCACAGCACTAGTCACTATGACTTTTCATAGTTACCAATTTCGAAATATGCCCACACTCGCATTTAGAACACAATTTCAAGCGAACAATTGCTGTCAATAACTTATACTCATGCCGTTACAGTTTATATGAAGGGAAGAAACCTAGGAATTGGGAGGAGAACAATAGAATGTGGGAGTCTTTCACCTCGTGTATGCGTGTGTGTGTGTTGCAAAGCGCATCCTCAGATCTGTGCGTCAAGGGTTTTCAGTTATGTCACGATGGTCGTGGTCTGAGGGATCGGTGTGGTGTGAAAATGTTTGTGTGTGGTGGCAGGGGGGCAGGGGGATCACAAACCCAGCGGAGATGCAGAGCTTCGATAAGACGCTTCCGGGTACATAGTTGGGGGTCAAATATTTACATATTTGGACCGGTTCGGAGGGACCTGACAAATAATGCAGAATGCTTCACTTGGGTTAACACGATGGCCAGTGTCTACCAAGTGAGCGAGAATCGCACTTGTGATAGACCCGGATAACTACCGTTCTGTACGACCGACATGCATCACAAACGCATCTGAGCGAGTAAACAATCATTGAATCAGTCAGCATCGGTAGTTTATCTTTATTCCGTACGGTTATCAGTGGCGAACTTTTGAAAGAGCAGCTTAGATGCGCGGATTTGAATGTGGCTTCTACCGCTCCATTCAGTCGTCTTTTCATAGTGGTAAGAATCAGTATACATTGTTGTGAATTCCTGGGGAACTGCGCAATCTTATACGCATTGTGTATCCGCTGTTGGATTGATTGATTAAAAAGCATGCCGAACCATCCTTTTTTGCGAAAAGAAATCAAGCAGTGTTCTGCTACAATTCGAAACTCGTCTAATTATTGTGTCTCTCTCTCACTGTACAGTTAAACGCGACATTTGCAGAAATTCGAGTTGAGAACCAACTACCTTC